GACATAGAAAAAGGCATTATTTTGACCAAAATTACGATTTTTGGATTACGAGTGTCTTGATTCAGCAAAACACCCACAGAAACTCCTCTTGGACAAATGAGATGCTCACAGCACACAATAGTTTTGTGATGTGTTAAAGGTGGAGGTGGGAGATAAGGTAAAAAATGTAATATAATACTTTGTGAAGTTTTTCGATACACAAAATGCCACAATTTTTATTTTTTTGGACATCTGATAAGTTGGAGCAGACAAAGTAGTGCTATATTTCATAATACTATCAAAAAATCTGAATACAGTGGTATTCAGCATTGCGGACACTGTGCTACACTAAATCGAATTAAACAGGGTTAATTATGATCTCTTTGTAATCAACAGTTGGGAAATCATTTATAAGTGCTGACGATATCCAATATCCAATCAATATGCACAGAAAAACATATTGTACCATAATTTGTCATGATAATGATAAATATTGTCATATTGCCGTAGTTCAAGGCCAGTATTGTGGTAACAATTACCAAACGTTATATTCGGCAGCCATAGTGTCAATCCTCAAACGTTTTGCCTAGTTTCACGCTCATGGAGAGACCTTATTGTGGTCTCAGTCTCATCAGTGCTATTAAGAACATAAGTGTTAAGAGATTTTGTCAAACGCTGAAGTGTGCTTGTATTTAAAATGAAATCTGGCTCTCCCCTAACTCTTATCATCTTCTGTCTTTTAGCCATGCTCTGGTTTATAAACTTGGCGGCACGTCGCTGAGCGTGACGGCTCTGGAGGTGAACAGTGGGATGTACCGAGTGCTTGCCACACACACAGACCACAGCACCGGGGGAGAGAGCTTCACACACGCACTGGCACAGCATTTGGCTGCTGAGTTCAAGAAGTAAGTCAGTATGCTGCCTTTGTGGAGCTGCTTGTACTGATTGTGTCTGTGGTGGTGACTGGTGCTCATGCATTTGTTTCCAGGTTGTATAAGCATGATGTGAGCAGTAACCCTAGAGCGATGATGAAGCTGATGAACAGTGCTGATGTAGCTAAGCACACCCTCTCCACGTTAAGCAGCGCCAACTGCTTTGTGGACTCTCTCTATGATGGCATGGACTTCGAGTGTAACGTGTCAAGGTGTGCACAGTCGTTCTACAATAACTGTGAATCAGTGTTGTGTCTAAATGTTATGAAGATGTAAACATATTTTTTGGTTTACAGAGCTCGCTTTGAGTTGATCTGCTCCAACCTCTTCAATAAGAGCATCCAGCCAATCAAAATCCTCCTAGAGCAAGTCAAACTCTCCACTTCAGATGTCAACAAGGTGAACACTTGCGCGGGGGGGTTGTGGTTGTTTTTAAATTCTTTACATTTATCTTCATGTAAAGCAAAGACAAGTTAGCCAGATTTAAAAAAGTTAGCTGGATTAAAGAGTTAAACCCTATCCAGGGAAAAGAAGAGGGTAATGACATTCCCACTGGACAGTCCTCACTCTAAGCTTAAATTAGCTTAAGTTAGTTAAGTTAACCCTGAGGCCACAACCAGTAAAAACACTATGCCCTGATGAACCCTGCCATTGGCGCTCATTTCCAAGAGTGCTTTGTGTTCTCACATGAATGTATATGGGTGCTCAGCTGTGCTTACATGGCTTTCCGAGCACCTTAATGTCGACCTGAAATCAAAATCAGTTTTTTTTACCTTGTGGAACAAGTGCTTGGTCGCATTAAGCATGGTTCATCATATGATTTTAAAAGACAAAATTCTTGTTTTCCTGTGATCATACATGACTTTTGTCTGCCTCTAAAATGTTTTCTGTTTCTTTTTTTTTCTCATTTTTGTGTTTGTTTTTACATCATCGTGCACCAGCAGGCAGGGGCAATATTAGCCAACTATTTTGTCATGGTACAGAAATAAAGTGCATTATGAGTTCTTATTCACACTGACTTCGGTGACACTATGAGTGGTCTTTTTTTTAAATGAAACAAACACTCAACGGACTCTCAGTAACGTGTCAAAACATATGAGGTTAGGGTGAGGATTAATGCCAGGGTGAGGGTTAGGTTTTAGGTAAGGTTGGTAAGGTTAGGTTTTGCTTAATGGAAGTAACATATTAACAACACATCTACTTAATGTTAGTAATGTATCAACAGAACATCTACAAGATATTTACTTCAGTGTATTCAGATGCTTCACTACTGCTACTCCACTGATATGTTTTTGATGTGTTACTGATAATCTGTTAAGAGTTTGTTAATCATCTACAAAGGACCACTCCAAATACAGTGTTATCCTGACCTAAAAAGGATGCAAAAGGAAAGATTGCAACGTTCCTGTCCTGATGGTATAATTCACATGAATTTAAATACTTGGTGAAAGTAAATCAGTCATTGAGAGCTCATAATTAATGTTGATCACCCATCATCTGCCCAGCTTTAAGAGGTGCAATCATTTCGATTGGTACTTATACTTACATTTCAAATCTCTATTGCAGGTGGTCTTGAGTGGCGGCTCGGCACGGATTCCAAAGCTGCAGCAGATGATCCGAGACCTGTTCCTCGATGTGGAGCTGCTGTGCTCCATTCCCCCCGATGAGGTGATTCCGGTGGGGGCTGCCATGCAGGCAGGCATCCTTGTGGGCAAGGAGAGCCTGGTTCTGGGAGAGGACTCAATCACTGTGGACTGCTGTGCCTCTGACATACTGGTCAAGGTGAACAAGAAAGCACTTGGTGAAATTACTGCATCACCAACAGGTTGCAGTCCTAGACAAGTATACTGAACTTTTTTGCTGGTCTAGTAGTTGTAGAACAGGGAAATTTCAAAGCTGTGCTGGACTGCTTGAGTTGAGGTGCCCTGTCCTAGAATGTTAATGTGGTAGTTATGATGTACACACCTCACAGATGTGTTCTTTTCTCTTGCAGGAGGTGGATGAGTCTGGAGCAGACATTTTCACGGTTTTGTTTCCATCTGGCACGCCCCTCCCTGCCCGCCGGCAGCACACGCTACAGGGTCCTGGCAGCCTGGCATCTGTGTGTCTGGAACTGTTCCAGGCCCAGAAACCCCTAGCACAGGTTAGACTCATACATCCACTCTCTTATTAGACTACAACATGTACATATTCTGACTATGGGCATTTCATAATTAGCAATCTGTGGTTTGGGAATTGCGGGTTGATATCAGATGTTTTTCATGTGCGTATCTGCTGATGTAGATACATTTGTGTAGCAATGCTCATACCAAATCTTTGGAGAGGGGAAATATATATATATATATATATATATATATATATATATATATATATATATATATATATATATATATATATATATATATAAAATCAGTTCTAGATCTGTTCTGTAACACTTTACAATAAGACTGTCCTTATTAAAGGTTTATGAATGGTTTAAGATTAGTAATGGTTATCTATTGGCTCATAAACACTTGAAAAATGAATAAGCAGTTGCAACACAAATGAAAACAGCTACAGTGTTATGTCTGAATATGAATATCGATGAAACAGGTTTAATACTGACTGATGGGGAAGACAACATAAATAACCAGCAAGACCTGAGGTTTAACAGTATAGATGAATGTAAGCTCACTATTTGGCAAGCAACAGGTCACTGTTACCCCTGATGTTATTGATGTGTTATGACTGCTTATTTTAAGATTAAGTTGTGACCTAATTAATAATCATTAATAAACTCATTTTAAACCATTCATTAACTTTGTAAGGGTTGCTTTATTGTACAGTCGTGCCCTCTTTGGTAATAAACTTATTTATTCACATCATTCTGTTGAATTCTTGAAAGTGGAACCTTGGTAGGGTGGAGGCCAAAATTTGAACAATGAATTAATCTCTCTCTCTCGCTCTCTATCTCTCTGTCTCATATATTCCAAAATGAATTCTCAGCTTTAATTTCTTGTACAGTTCAGTGCTTTGTCAATTCTACACAAGAATACAGTAATACTGATTACATGTCTTATTCAAAAGCAGCAGATACACAAGTTATTCTGATTGGAGCGAGTTGAATCCTATACATGATAATATGTCTCGAAGTTCCAAAACTCCAAAAACGAGTGATTGTCTCACTTGTTCCTACCATCACTACACTCTACATTTAGAATATGTAGGCATTGGCAATACATTTATGTTGATTAGAGTAACAGAGAAGTATAACATTTATTTCTACAGTGTTACAAATGTAGAAAAATAATGAATAAACTGTAGACATTTTAGTGGAGTAGCCCAGTATCACTTAAAAATTCTGCTTTTCTGGAGTACAATAAATACATCCAAACACAGTTAGGAATATCGGTCAAATCTAAACATCTGCCCGACAGTGATTTTGTTATTAAATAAGCAGTTCTGTGCTGATACAGCTATCACCCATGCAACTCTCTTAATTTATCCTCCTCTGTGTCGTGTAGATTGTTCTTAGGGACCTGGAGCCCAAGGAGGAGATGCATGACATTCTCACAGTGCTGACAATGAAAAGGTAAAATTCCATATACAAAAACTGCCGTTGTACTATTCTATTGTATAAAGGAAGCGCAATTCTAGTATATGGCTAATTGTACTGTCAATGAAGTGTCTGATCAACCTTTTCACCCACTAAAATTTTAACATGTTTGATTTTCAGGGATGGCTCGCTACACGTTACCTGTACAGAGCAATGTAGCGGCAGGTCGGAGGCTGTAACCATAGCAACAGCTGCAGCAGCATCATAGTTTTTTCCCGCCACCGTAGTAACTTTAAAACCACAACATCTGTAATGGGTGGGCTTCGTAGCAACGTCTTTTGTTCCATATGATCACATGTTGACAAGCTACTGTTCCCTCAATGCTGACATTTAAATAAAAAGCTTTTTTTCCATTAAACATCTTTTTAATAGGGTGTTTTTCACCAGTAAATGTCAAAAAAACAAGTGTTGCAGAACCAGAAAACACTTGCATAGTGCATAGTGTTCTGATCATCTGCAGTCTTGCTGAAAAATCACTTGAAGCTTGATTGCTGGATTAGTGAGTGGAATCTGGAATACTGGTGCTTTAACAAGACAAATTAAATTAAGGGCCAGTTAAAGATGTATTAAGTCTATTAAGTAGACTGTCTATGTGATCACAAAGGCAGTTGAGGCATGCCATTTTCCCGCTGCATGCATTGCATACATACATACGCTAGTGCACTAGTTCTGTGCTGAGATAGCTACTCTAAAGTAACAGATGTTCCTTCATCAAAGGGAAGGTAATGCACGTGTGGTTTACTGATACCATCATTCTCAAGCAGATCCAGCCGCATTATAGGTTAGGAAGGTATGAAGGTGCTTCTCACAAGGTAACACTGTAATATCTGATACAAACATCACTACAGTATATAATATAACCTGAGTTTATTTGAACATAAAGCTGTATAAAAAGATCAGCGAATATTTGTTTGCAGCAAAGTAGGATTTTTTTTTAAATTAACGAAACAATTAGGATGTACTTTATATAAAATAAACATGTGAGGTAAGGTGGTTGTAGGGTAAACTGAAACAGTGCCACACATGAACATTATCTAAAGGTTAAGGTTTACAGAATTCATCACAGAAACTTTAGCATGTTTTTTAATCCAGTAATCTTGAGGACACAGTGGGCTGTGATTTTCTTGATCAGCTCAAGAAAGGCAATTGCCTCATGCTGAATTAGAAACAGCAGAGCAGGGGGGAAAAATAATTAGATGCATTGGTTGAAGTCCCAAACGTGAAGTCTCACCCCTGAACGACACTGAATAGTTAAAACGGAGTATTAACGTTTTCACATAATTAAATCATTACAAAGTAAAAAGAGTCATTGAGAGTGGTTTGATGTGAAATGTGTCATACTAAAGAAACAGAATTGTTTACAGTGGTGGTGATAGGAACCAGATGTCTAAAGCATATAAACATAATCGAACATCTGTAAAAGCTACCTCACAGGTATCTGTTACATGAAATGGTTACAAAGATGTTGCCTGATGCCTGAAACACTGTTTTATGATCATTTTGACAGAATGTTTTGGCCTTTTTTAAAAAAATAGGCTTGGTTGAGAGGTACATGCAGCATTATAAGGCAAAATAGTACCCATAGACTTCTTTTTTACCACTTTCTTACCATCAGCAACATCACATTTAAATAATCAAATGCTGCGCAAGTTTACTGGTGGGTTTGGATAGTGAATAAAATGGCTATATTTACGCTGTAGACATTAATCCATGGTTCCCATCACCACCACTGTAAAGAAAACCAGTTTCTCTACAATGCACCATTTTACATTAAACCACTGTGAATGACTGTTTACATTTCAACCACTAAATTGTGTAGAAATTTTTAAAACTCTGTGGTATTCCCCTTTAAACTAATTTGTTGCTGTAACTCTGCACTGTTTTGAGTTTTTGCCAACAACTTAACATCAGCAGCATCTAAAAATAAGAGCATAAATGACTGGAAGGTTAAACAGATCGGAATGAAAGTGCGAAAAGAACTGGACAGTAATTAGAACACTTTAACAGTGACTCATTGGTTCCAATAACATTTCTGAAGTGCAAGGAACGTCTTTTAAGGCACTATTATGTTTGGAACTGGCAAAACTAATACTGTCAGTTAATCCAAATATACTGCATTAATTACACAGGCAAATATATGAACATTGAATATGCTTTTGAATGCATAAGAATGCATCTCATCACTTTAGTCTATTTTACTAGGACTAAACAACTGTCTTGGAGTGGCAACTTTAAGGAGCCCATATCATAAAAAAAAGTTCCTCAGTTGACATTTAAAACTGTTTCTGTGATGTCACAAAAACCAATGCATTGACATTTCTCCACCTATTCAACCTACAGCAGTTTAGCCCCACCTATTCACATTGAAGTTATAAGGAGTGTTTCACTTCAGGTTTTTTTTTTTTTAAAAAAAAGCAGAACTTATTTACATAATCGCTGTTGTCGTAACAAATCCTTGTATCTCCAAAATGATAACTTTACAGGAGAAGGGAAAAAAAAACTACTTTTAATGTAAGTCAATGGAACCAGACTTTTTTCCTAGTCGTTTTGGGCCATTCATCATGAAATTAACACACAATGTAAAGGACAACAGGCATTTTAAATTGTGTCAAAAACTGAAAAACGACAAAAATGGAGATACAAGGTTTTTGTTCTGACAACAGTCAGTCTTAGAGGAACAGTGAAAAACAACCTCTTTAATTCTAAGTGATTAAAGAGAGGTGGGAATATGGTCATGTAAAAATGAATTATGCTTGTTTTTGGTACCTAAAACCACATTTGCAGGAAATGGACCCTTTAAACATGACTACAATTTTGTTTTGGAATGGCAAGCTGATAAATCCTCATTGACATCTGTTTCTGAACACACATTTCTATACATGGTTGCCTATTTCTTGGAATGATTATGCTAATTGCTTTTATGAAGTTCAGAGTTTTGGGCCTAAGCTCTCTCAGACAGAGCCCTGTTGACCTCTGCGTGTGATAACTTCCTCTCCAGCTGCCAACTTCTTGTACAGCTCCTTCAGCTCGTCAGGATGAGGGGCTTTGGAGCCTGGAGTCTGAGGCAGGTCAAAGTCAGACGACACCTGCGAGTCCGACATCACTTCTGTGCAGTCCGTGCCTTGAGACTGGGTCTTGCGGACAGCTGGCTCTGTCTCGACCGGCCTGTGAGCATCATTCTCTGGTTTCTGGTTTGTCTGTATGTTATTTTGTTTGCTAGATTGTGTGGCACTGTTGAGCTCTGCTTGAACGGGCACTGTGTCGAGTTGGCTGGGGGTTTCTGTACCTCCGTCTGATATATGTGTAGACTGAGAAGAAGTCATGTGAACTGACTCTGACTCATCATCCTCGTCAAACAGTTCGGGCGATTGCGAGGTTGTGTGATAAGTAGACAGAGCCTGGCTGTTCTGACTGTTGTCCAGCTCACTGCTTTCGTCGGTCAGAACCGGCTCTGCTTTGAAGAATGTAGCCCAGGTGGGTGGAGCCTTCTTTGGAGAGGAAGGGTTTGAATGAGAATGGGGCGTGGCCATTTCTGAACAGGGCTTGTCTGACTGCAAGCAAGATTGAGTAGGTGGGGCGTCACCAGATGAGTGACGTGCAGGGAGGACAATGGGTTTGGAATTTAATAGCTCCTCCTCTTCATCATCATCATCATCATTGGACTCTGTGCAATCCATGTAGTTAGATGTCTGGACTATGGGGACTAGCTCTGGAAGAGCTTGTGCTTGGTTGTCCTCGGGAACCAATTTTTCTGGACAATGATGTAGTATGACCTCATTCACGGCAAGCTTCTTTCTCTTAGGGGCCACAGCAACCTCCCCAAACAACTCCTCATCACTGTCTGAGCCTGACACAAACAAGTTTGGTAAATTTAAAAGTTACAGCTTTGTATGAAAGTTTGAACACCCCAAATTACAGGTTTTGTTGATTTGAAAATAAATTAACACATCCTATACAAGGAATAAACTTAAATATGACATTTTTCTGCAAATTGTAGTGCAAAATTTATGTTTATTTGTTAAGTTTAACATATTGGTACTAAATAAAATGTGCCATAACCTTTGCACAGGCTGCATGTTATTAGATTGTTTTCTCCAATATGTTAAATTCAGCAGATAAACAGTAACTATGCATGAAAATGTGCAGATGTGTGTTCTCTGTAGAGGATGTTTATTTTTTTAAATTAGAGGAACTTATTTTTTTAAATTAGAAAATCAACAAAATGTCATTTGACCATGGGCGCCCTAACTTTTGCACAAGTATACGAAGTGATAAATGTTTTTAAAGGTAGTACTGGTACGTTATTTGCATAATTGAATTTAATTAGGAAATGATGCCAAAAATAGCTATTATATGCAGTAAGAGATATGACAAAGCTATTATTAATCTACTATGAAGCCATTATAGAGCTATTACAAAGCAATTATGCTATTATGTCTATATTACATAGTTAATATTAACACTGACATAAAAACTACTTTTTTAAAGCTTTTACATTTTTTATGGATACAAATGATATGATAGATGAAGGGGCGTCTGATAAAGTCAATTACTACTATTTATTTCGTTAAATATCTCTGTCGAAAGCCAGTGTCAATCTGACTGATGGGTAGAAAACCTGGAACAATGGAAAAAGTGAATGACAGATTCTGGTGCATAACATGAGTGCAGTGTGAAAAGCCACAGGTAAGGTATCTGTTCGAACCTTGTGATGGATATTCTGTTCTGGCTCGTTTCAGCATCCCAAGAGGCTTATAGACGACCTCATTCCTTCCAGAATTTTTTCTGCACATTGGCTCCAATCTGACAAAGGAACAACATGCAGACTAATAACCAAATCAAAGGAACGCACAAGAAAACCAAACGTGACCAAAGATCTTAAAGGGCCCATATAGAGGAAAACTGAAATTTCCTTGTTTTTAATAAAAAAGGTTGATGTAGTATGTAAACACTGTCAACATTTCAAAATGTACCGGTCACTAAACCCTCCATACAGTGCTTCGAATACGTTGCTTTTGTGACGTCACAAAAAACACATTTACATACATCCACCCACTTCACAATGACGTTTCAGGGAGTGTTTCAAAGCTCATTTACATGTATCAGTCTTACATGCACAGACACAGAAACAGTGTGCTTCATTTTAAGGGATAGGGAGAGGTTGGGAAATTGTCATGTAATAATGAATTTTATACAACAGTTAGTTCCGGCCACGCAAGCTGATTGGTTGAGAGGCGTTCTAACCGTGCTGTTATTTCACTGTATCAATCCGCTGAGACATTGTTGCAAGGCAACGTCTTTGACAGCTGTAGGAGACGCTCAAGCCATTTGAACGTTTTTACTTCTTACTTTGCCACAAACAGAAAATGGACACTTAAGATTTAACTCTGAGGATGAGACGACACTAAATTCCCAAACTGTCATCACCACTGAGCAGCTTTTCAGTCGGCAGCTGAGACAGAAGGACAGCTAAACAACCTGGAATCAGCCAGAAATGAACTGAATACCATTCACCAAACTAAATGAGCTGTAAGATGCTTTACAGACTGGCTGGAACAAAACAACATTAATATTGATCTGGCAAAAACTGCCAAAACTGAGCTAAACTTGATATCGTGGCAGTTTTATGGCTCAGTCCGATTTGGTCAGACTCTGAAGATGAGACTACACGTTTCTGGCTAATTCCAGGTTGTTTAGACTGAAAAGCTGCTCAGTGGTGATGACAGTTTGGGAATTTAGTGTAAGGAGCTGGAGAACGAACTGCCGGCCTGTGCAGCGAGTGAGCGGAGCTCGTCACTCTGACGTAGCAACAAGCTGCTTGTTAAGGAACTATAATTTGAATTGGGAACATTAAAACATATTAAATGCCACGTTCACGACCCAGTTTATTAATTTCATACTTTATTTATTTAACTGTTGTATAAAAGCAATAGAACATGAGAGGGAGTGTGTTACCGTGAATAACATCATGACTGTGATGTTACTTCGCGATAACACACTCCCTCTCGTGTTCTGTTGCTTAAACAACTGTTTTGGGGACATTAGCCACAGGTGTGTCATAAGAGGACCTCAGAAGAAAAATGTAGGATATGGGCCCTTTAAGTCCACTTTCTAAACATACAGTCATTTGCAAAAAAGTTTACATGCCCCTGGTCAAATGACATGTTTTTTTGATTTTCTAAGTGGAAATAAGTTACATCTTTTACAGAGAACAAACTTCTGCACACTTTAATGCACAATTACTGTTTATTTGCTGACTTTAACACATAGGGAAAAAAAACACAAATGTGGCCTGGGCAAAACGTTATGGCACATTTTACATTTTTTCCCCAATATGTTCAACTAAAATAAATAGAAATAGCAAATAAATAGAAATTGTGCATTAAATGTTGCTGAAAGATGACATATTGCAAGTTTGTTCCCTGTAGATGATGTATTAACTTATCTTCACTTAAAAAAACAACTCAACATATATAAACAATTTGACTGGGGGTCTCCAAACTTTTGCATACGACTGTAGCTACAGTACAAGAAACATGACAAATACTTACAGCTCAGTGACCTCCTCCACTGTTCTGGCCAGAGGAACCACATTAGGATAAATATTCACAGGACAGATGTAGGAGAGGAAATCTTTGATCTGATTGTAGAAGAATGGACATACAGTGACCAGGCCTAATTAATGCAGGCATCAGGTAATGCTGTCATGTTTTGAGTGCTCACAAAGCAAACAGGTTTCTCACCTCTGAGTAAGACGAATGAAAAGAGAAACATGCCCTGTAGGAACTTCCACCCATCCTGAAACAGACATGTCACAATACCTGATATGACACCCAATAGGCTACTGTACACATATCCAAAACGTTAAGGATGCCTTACAGGTAGGCCTGTTCCTTCAAAACTGCTACAAAATGTACAACCAGTTCTGAATTGTACTCAGTCTCAAAACAGAAGTAGCCTACAACTCACAACTTAGCCACATTCAACATGGCCATTAAATGCACCTATAAAGCAGGCAGGTCTAATTTCCTTTTAAAGACAAGGATGCCAAACTCAGGAATCAGGCCACAGCACAGACTCTCTGCTCTTTTCTGAGCGCAGGGAAATTACAAATGACTGTCAGTAGTAATCGACCATGCAAAACAGATGCGACAGATCGAAAAAACTGTTATATTTACATTGTATATTGTTGTATATCACTGCTGTCCTTTACATTTTATGTAAATTTAATGAAGAATGGCCCAAAATGACTTGGAAAAAAGTCTGGTTCCATTGACTTACATTAAAAGTGAAGTATGTTTTTTCCTTCTCCTGTAAAGTTACCATTTTGGAGATACAAGGTTTTTTTCAGACAACAGCGATATAACAGTTGTATATGGTTTTTCTTTGCTATACCTTTTATTTGACAAAAATTAAGCTTCAAGTCACACATTATCAATTTGATCCTGCATCTGCTTCAGAGTTAAAAAGAAAAAAATAGCTATTATTTTTATTAAGTGATGTTTCCAGAAGCATCAGTAGATGTACTTTCAGAGATACTACTACTACTACAGCTAATAATAATAATAATAATAATAATAATAATAATAGTAGTAATAAATATTATAGAGACTAATGCTGAAGTAGAGGCGAGAGCAAACAAAGTGATGGAGTGCGAGTTGAGTCTTAATCTTTGTCAAATAAAATAACATAAAGGTTCAGTAAAAGTTTTGTTTGTAGTGTATTGTCATCTTTCATTTGGCAACAAAAGTTAAAAAAAAAAATAATCTAGTAAAATAATAATCTAGTAAGAAAGAACAGAATTGCAATGTCACATGAACTTGGTATCTTTGGTATCGCCATGGTATCTTTAGCCGCTTATCTAAGCCTGATTGTACTAGACCTGAGATATGACAGTGTTTTTCCTAAAGCCAAAGCCAAAGCTTTTGTCTGAAGTCTGACACCTAATGCTGTGGTCTGAGAACATCCTAAAATATACACCATCCCATATAGACTGCTTTTTGTACAGACATGATATCTGCCTGCAGCACTGAGCATGCTAACAGGTGCATTTATGAAACATCTCATCTATGTCAGGTACAATACATATGGTATTAAAGTAGAATAGCAATTCAAGTGACATGTTTAAAAGTTCAGTTAAGTTAATGTGTGGGAATGCTAGTGTCTTGTAACTGTTTGCAAAAAATCAATTAATGAAAACATTTTTTTCAGTGTGGGTCACTGGGGGCTGTTAACATGGTAACTCAGATAACCATCACTGGGCACAGGCCTGGTTGTCTTTCTTTATCATTTGAATGGTGGCCCTCCAGGACGATTCTGTGAAAAACTGACTTTATCATTAGATTTTACCTGACAATGACCTTGGTCTTCCTGGTTCGTTCCCCAAACCACATAGTGGAGGGCTTGATGCTGATGATGCGCAATGGTGTGCCATCTGGAGCTATACAGCCACATGGCAGCCTGTTTGCTCTGAAAAGCTCCTCATCCTGTCACAAAACCACAGTAATAAGACCAAAACATCAGGATCACTGAGGGACACATTAGGAAAGGTGATTAGTAGAGCTGGAAATGTATTGTGCCTTGGGGTGCCTGCAGGCATGGATCTGTGTTGCTCGGTTGGTGGTCACATAAGACAGAATGTCTGGCATTTTCCTGTACATGTCCAGGCTGTTCACGTGGACCTATAGCACAACCAGAGAGATTCACGTAGTGATGTGTGAAGTCAATAGAAGCAAAATTTAGCCAAAGATTTATCATGAAGTATCATGAAGATTTCTGAGCAGAACAGACTAACCTGTAAGGTGAACTCCTCTCCCAGGTTAGTGAAGAGGTATTCATATCCATATGCTGCTTTGCAGTTCAACCAAACTACATGGTAGGGGCTCTGACTGATCCAGTCTTGAATCAGCTCCCTTATACCAATTAAGCAAGCCTCCTAAAACAGAGTAATGTGGTACACTGACAAAGTTAACAATATTAACATGGTTAGACTACCAAACATGCGTCTGTGAGTCTGCTCACCCTGCTAGGGATCTGATAGAACCTGGGGTCATAGAATGTAGAGTCCAAATACACGCTCTTAATGTCTTTTACCCTGAAAGGAGACATTTAAAGAAAGTACAGATCAGACTATTCACATTAAACTAATGACAAAGATTTAAAAAACATTTAAACATAAAAAAATCAACACATCCTGGGCAACTACTGTCTTTAGATATACACCGATCAGGCATAACATTATGATCCTTGTTTCTACGCTCATTGTCCATTTTATCAGCTCCACTTACTATATAGGTGCACTTTGTAGTTCTACAGTTACAGACTGTAGTCCATCTGTTTCTCTGCATACTTTGTTAGCCCCCTTATACCCTGTTCTTCAGTGGCCAGGACCCCCATGGACCCTCACAGAGCAGGTACTATTTGGGTGGTGGATCATTCTCAGCACTGCAGTAACACTGACGTGGTGGTGGTGTGTTAGTGTGTGTTGTGCTGGTCTGAGTGGATCAGACACAGCAGTGCTGCTGGAGTTTTTAAACACCTCAGTGTCACTGCTGGACTGAGAATAGTCCACCAACCAAAAATATCCAGCCAAAAGCGTCCTGTGGGCAGCGTCCTGTGACCACTGATGAAGGACTAGAGGATGACCAACACAAACTGTGCAGCAGCAGATGAGCTATTGTCTCTGACTTTACATCTACAAAGTGGACTGACAGGGTAGGAGTGTCTAATAGAGTGGACAGTGAGTGGACACAGTGTTTAAAAACTCCAGGAGCACTGCTATGTCTGATCCACTCACACCAGCACAACACACACTAACACACAACCACCACCACATCAGTGTTACTGCAGTGTTGAGAATGATCCACCACCCAAATAGTACCTGCTCTGTGAGGGTCCATGGGGGTCCTGGCCACTGAAGAACAGGGTATAAGGGGGCTAACAAAGTATGCAGAGAAACAGATGGACTACAGTCTGTAACTGTAGAACTACAAGGTGCACCTATATAGTAAGTGGAGCTGATAAAATGGACACTGATATACTTTAAGTGACTCCTTTTCACTTTGCTTTGCACAATAAAACCACATATAACTGAGTAACGAACTAGGAGGATGTGAAAATAGGTCATGCCAAACTAGGTGAAATCTTGTGCAATGTACCTGTCTCCAGAGTGCAGGTGCTCCATCCTTGCTGCGTCTCCAACAGCCAGTCGGAAATCTCCAGTGTACAGCACTGTGCCCTGAGCTCCCTCAAAGAGAAACCTGCCGAAAGACAAAGGGAGACGTTGGTGCTTTCAAGCGACGGGTTCAGCTGGAGCTAAAACAACTAAGCACAATCAACACATTTAAATCTGCACACTGAAAAGCCAGTAAGATGCAAACAAAGACATTAACAGCAATTACTCACATGACAGACCCAGGGCAATGTCCAGCTGGGAGTAAGGTAACAACAACATCCTCTGACTGAAAAGACAGAAAGAGCATAAGAAAATGCACATAGCTCACATTTAAGCACTTTTTTAGATCAAAAGGAGATCAAAAGAGCCCCTAAACTCAGTTCCTATGCTGATAGATGCTGGATGTACTAAGAAGCTACTACTACTGCAGTTCTATAAGGAACATAGGGCTTTAAGGAGTTTTTGGACCCGATACTTTTTCACTCCTACTGTTGGGTTTCTGGTAGATTATTCTTCAACTTTAGTCATTATTTCGTTAAAGTGATAATACTTTTGTTTATCAATGCAAGTTTATTTATATAGCAGCTTTCATACAGTGCTGTCATTCAAAGTGCTTTACAAAAAAAACAAACAGTCATTTAAAAAGTAAAGGAGAATAGAAATTTAAAATATGATTAAAACATGACTAAAACAATAGATTTAAAAGAGAAAAATAAAATAATTAAAAGAAAAGTCAAATTAGAAATTACTTTAGGATAGTTAAAAATCAATTTAAACTTAAAAAGTAAATTAGGATAATAAAGTGCCGTTCAGTATGATTTTAGACCATCCTACCCTGCCCTGGGCCTGTGGTGGCTTAAAGGGGAATTCTACTGATTTTTAAAAATTTCTGCATAATCCAATCGTTAAGATGTAAAAAAAATATTCAGAGTGGTCTGATGTGAAAAAGGCCATTGTAGAGAAACTAACTCTGTAATTTCTTTACACTGGTGGTGATAGGAACCAGGGGTCACAATGCCTGCAGTGCAAAGACAGCAAATTAATTTACGGTCTTTTCATTAACTGTCAAAAACAACAGGTAAATCTACACAATCTCTGAATTTTTAATTTCTTTGGGTGCTATTTGCCTTACAATGCACTGAATGTAGGTAGCATTTCACCACGAACACATTTAAAAATACTTTCTTTTACTTTTAGATCAAAACCTTACCTAAAACCTCATCCAAACCTATCATAGAACAATGTCTTTGGCATTTGGCAGCACATTTGTTTTCATTTCATAACACAGCTTCTTGTGAGGTACATTTACAGGCATTAAACGTTACAGTCGTCTGGTTTCTGTCACCACCACTGTGACAGAAGTGTCTCCAGAACAGCACACTGCATCGCAAACCTCTCCGAATGACTTTGTTTATATCTTAACTATTTCAATATCCAAAAATTCTGAAAAATTGGAGGAATTCCCCTTTTCATACCGCAAACCTACATACCTCCCCTGTGACTTCATCAATCAGTGAGATGTGAGTCGGACTGTCCAGTTCAAGGGCGACCTGAAATTACATGTTACAATCATATAAGACACAAAACGCAGCATTATGAAGGGTCTATATTCATAAACCGGCTCAATAAGAAGTTACAACTTACTATGTGCTCCTCCCAGAAGGCGTATTTTCGGTTACTCAGCAGAAGCTCCTTTGTGACAAACGAGCAGTACAACTTGACAGTTAAACTAGAACAGAAAGGTAATCTTCATCCTTCTGGCTGGACTTGGTTAAATTGATTAAAAAAATAATAAACTTAGCTGTGATAGGTAGAACATCTACACATGAGACACAAACCGCTGGTACCTACCAAAACTTTAGTTTCCTTTTCAGCAAAGGCCCCTTTAATCCTTTCATATGATCTGTAAACATAATGTTAACCTATATGACACCAGAGCCACTGACAGAGACCTAGAAGTCTGTATACTCTTAAAATATAGTTCTTCAAGGGTTCTTGAGTAAGGGGAATGGTTCTATTTAGAACCACTAGTTCAATGAGTTATGTAAACATGTTATTTACATGCTTAAATGGTTCTTTGCTTGGTGAAATGACTGAAATTGATCTCCAGATCGATGGAAAACGTGTTGTATGTGGTTCTATGTAGCACCAAAAAGGGCTCTTCTTTTGTTATGATGTCAAGCTTGTAACACCAGACGAACCCTTTTGGGTGCTAACGCTACGTAGAACCATTTTCCATGCAAAACCACACATTCTCCAACAACCCGAAGAACCATTTCACCATATAAAGAACGTTTTAAGCATTAATTTGTTGTATACAGACATAAATAATACCTTTTCCTTGAATGGTCATGTTTGTAAGGGTGAGGTTATCTAAACACACGTATTCAGCTACAAACCCACAGAAGAACCGCTTCCAAACAACGTTAGTTTAGCTAACAGACAGTAAGTGATGAGAGAACTGTATTATGTTGACTTACCTTTATGGCAGTGAGACAGAAAGTAAGCTCGGGCATGTAAATTTTCCTTGTCAAAGCGGTCAATGGAGATGGTTGAGTACTCTTTCATGCGACCAGGGAACGAACTCATTCTGACAACTCACGTTAGCTTAGCTAGCCCTGCTGGCTAACTAACTACCGAGCCAAGTTTGAGCTGAGCAGGGAAAGGCGGTCACCTAACCCAAACACTTCCACACATCCCCTCTGTGATCTGCCTACACATCTCAAAACACACCGAGACATACAGCCTACAGTACCTGAGACCGTCCGACATCGCAGCCAACTTCAAGACCACAGCCTGTTCGAAGCGGAGCAGCAGGCTGTGTTGTGGACTATGAGCTGTACAGCGACATCTAGAGGTCGAGAACAAACCTGTCAGCTTAATCGTGCTGCTGTAAAATACGAACCACCCAAACAGAACAGAAAACCTTTTGATGAGCCTGTATATAACCCCGATAAGCGCTTTATAATAAACTAGATCATAATAAGAGCTACATTTTATATACATTAGACGAAATTTGCCAGAAAAATGCCTCCACATATGATATTTTCACACAGATCTGTGTGATTACATATCTACATATATACAGTTAGTTTTTGCAGCAAAACAAAAAAAGTCTGTAAACCCATTACTGTGTTAAAGCTGTTCAGTTTTATTTAAATCCCATATTGAATTCTCCGTTTTTGTTTGTTTTTTCTTTTCGTTTTTTGGTCTTTTCTTTTTTTTTTCCTCTGTTGATGTTTCCCAAAGAAATTCAGTTTGACATGTGAAGGTTGAGCTCCTGTTCTATTCTATATACGTGTGTTATTCGCAATTTAAAAAAACGAAAAAAATCAAACAGTTCTGTTCTGATTGCATTTTGAAGGAACTCAGTAAAGGAGTACAGTTATAGCAGGGAGAAGAGGAAGAAGGAAAACATTGCTTTTTTGTTTGCAATTTTAATAAGAGACTCGTGTGCACGTTTCAGATCTACTCAAAAGCTCTGGGCTTTACGTTTCAACGCTCACACTCGAGACTTGTTCTACATCTTTACGTCCTCTGTTACAAAATAAAAGTCTGACGACTATGGCGTCCTTTCTTGGAAATTTGACTTGAAGTACACATCTTGTCCAAAGCGTCAAATATATAACCATTATTACCACATATTTTATATAATTTTATTTTATTTTAGCACATCTGGCTGGCTTTCTGTTTATTCTTTGTTCTGGGGTGGGAGTGTTTTTTCTTTTTTTGTTTTTTTTTACGTGTCAGATTTTTTGTATAATATTTAATTCTGTCAACTGCTTTGAAAAATAAAATAAATATATTTGTGTTTAAAATGGGAACCACTTGGTTTCTTTCTCTTTTTGGGGGGGTTCAACTGCTTCCTTTAACGACGCTGTTGCCAGGAAACCAACAGCGACCTGCAAACTCAAAACAAGCCTGTAAGACAGCAAAACCTCTCCAGGTCTGTTGTTTCATTAATCTGAAAATGTCGCTTAAAATGTGTGATATTTATTATTTATTCAGCTATGTTTGATTGTAAAAATCACACGAAGTAATGCCAGGTTAGTAAATAAGACTAAGTTTCTCAGGTTGGTTAAATTTAGCTGTAATTCCGTACAGTAAATAACGGAGATGATAGTGGCCAAATAAATAATGCAGTTCACTGTTTGATTATCTGCTAAAAAATGTGTGATAAGTTAGGTTACCTGTTAAAGCGAGTTTGCAAACTCAGTGTAAATCTTTAAAAATCAAAATTAGATTACTGGACCTTACTGAGTAGAACTAGAGACATTAATGTTAACGTTACTTACTAAAATCGATTCTAACATTAGCTAATATAGTTAAATACACACTACAGATCACGCGATACCTTCATTTCGCTGCTGTCGAAACAAAACCTCGTATCTCCATTTTTACATTTTTCAGTTTTTGTCATGATTTGAAAGAGCCTGTTGTCCCTTACATTGTGTGTAAATTTCAGGATGAATAGACCAAAAGAAATGACCCAAAATGACTTGGAAAAAAGTCTGGTTCCATTGACTTACATAAAAAGTAAAGTATGTTTTTTCCTTCTCCTGTAAAGTTACCATTTTGGACATACGAGGTTTTGGTCGATTTGTTAACTGATAAAAGATGGTTCTTCAAGCGTTCTTTAGTAAAGGCAATGATGGACCTATTTGCAGCCAAGAGTCCTATATAGAATCATTTGCATGGTTCTATATAAGCACCAAAAAGGGCTCTTTTTTTGATACAATCTTAACATTGTAACAGTAGCAGAAGCTTTTTTGGTCCCATATAGAACCATTTTAAGAAGCTTCTATACAAAACCATACACAACACGTTCTCCTTCAATCTGAAGAACCATTTCGCCATGCAAAAGGACGATTTAGGAATGAAATGGTTCTATGTGAAATTAAATGGTTCTATATCCCTGAAGAACCATCTTTTTTAAGTGTGTGCAACATAGTAAGTTAACATGTGTAGTTTAATTATGTTATTAAATTAACTGTCTCAACTAAAGGAGCTGATAGTAGCCAGTCACTCAGCTAAGTAATCTAGCACACCTGTAACATCTGTGTAGTTGTTGCCAAATGAAATTTAGCGATAACTAACATGTAATATGGTATTACTGTTATTACAAATTTTTTACAGGAAAACATCCAGAAGAGCTCTTGGGAAAGACCTGCCCAGTGTCAGAAAAATGTCCTGTGCAGTCTTGCTGGATGGCAACGCCAAACCGAAGTCCATGAGCCGAGCTAAGCAATGGACGGATGAGGTGGAGAACCTCTACAGATTTCAACAAGCTGGATACAGGGATGAGATGGAATATAGGCAAGTCAAACAAACAGAGGTAATGACATTGTGCTATTCCTCACTTTAAGATCAAACATGCTTCATTAATGTTTTCGCCAACAATGTATTGTAATCACTGATTCTAGCTTTTGATCATTTACAGTTAAAGTGTCTCATTTTGTGGTTCGTTTCAGATCGACCGGTGGCCAGAAACAGGGTTTGTGAAGAAACTTCAGAGACGAGACAACACATTTTATTACTATAACAGAAAGCGAGAGTGTGAGGACAAAGAAGTCCACAAAGTCAAGGTGTACGCATACTGACACCACCAGCACTTCTTTTTTCAGTCGTTTCTCCTGCTGCTTTTTTCTTTGCACTTTTTTTTAACAGCAGACAGCAGTCATTAATGTCTTAATCTCAGTAGGTAATCATCTGAATGGTCTGATGTGAATAAACTGTATGCAGCATGTTATTGTGCACTGCATGTGTCTGTGTCCAAAACATTACTTTTTAATACATTTAGCAGAACTTCAGCAATTCTGGACAAGTCAGGAACTGGACTGTGATGACTGAAAAGTCAGACTCAAATTGTAATTTTCATTTTGTGCTATCTGCTTTTTTCACAAGTGAAAATTAAATTGTCCTCACTTTTAAGGATATGTAGTATGTAAACATTAGTCATGTTTTTGAAAGATTCCATTCACAGTCCATATGTGGAAATTCACTGTTTTTGTGATGCCATGAACGCATTTACATTTATCCACCTACTAAGGCTACAGCAGTTTAGCTCTGCCCATTCATGTCAAAGTCATAAGAAGTTTTTCAGCCCAGACTGCTGTTTTAATGAAGCACAATACAGTTCAATCAATCTGAACAGAGGTCATTTACATACATTAATCTTAAAGGTGCAGTAACAAAAACAGCCTGTTTAATTGTAGGGGAGGTTTAGAGAAAATATTCTTGGTACATAAACTCGGACCTCGGAAAAAAAAAACAAAACAAAACGAAAAATAAAAGATATGGGCCCTTTAATGTCAGTGTAAATCAGAAATCATAACACATTTTTCTTCCATACCATATTTCCAATTGAAGTAACACATCAGGGACCCTCTGAGCTAGCTGAGCGTTTTTTTTCTTTCACAGTGTTTACAGTGGTTTAGTGTGAAATGCTCCATTCCAGAGAAACTTACAGTCAGAATTGTTCACAGTGGTGGTGATAGGAACCAGATGTCTGAAGTTTATTGTTTAATCATCTTGTTATTTTATGCCTAAAAGCCATGCTCTAAAAGCTCGCTCACAGAAAGTCGTTATACAAAATGGTGACACATATTCTGCCTGACACTTTAAACATTGTTCAAAGATAGTTTTATCACCATTTCACATTCACAACCAATCTGAAAGACTTTGTCTACATCTCGACAGTTAAATTATGCAGAAAATTTGAAAAATCAGTGAAATTCCCTTTTAAGTAGTCATAAGCACAAAAAAGTTGTTGTTACAAGCTTGACACCTTAATAAAAGCATCAGAATCTTTTTTGGTGCTGTATAGAACCATTTTAGAAAGGTTCTATATAGAACAATATAACACATACACACACACACACACATCATCTAAACCGCTTATCCTTCTGGGTCGCGGTGGGGTACAATACAATACATTCTCCACCTATCTGAAGAACAGTTTCATGATGCAAAGGACCCTTTAAGCAAATGGTTCTTTGAGTATTCATGGTTCAACGCTAAAACAATACATATTATATGGGTCATTCTACTGAAACGTCCGCTTTTCTATCCATCCGTAGGTGTTAATGGTGTTACCAATCCTCACTGGTGTTACACATAAGAAAGGTAACACCAGAGACATTTTTAATGAAAAATGCATTTTACAGAACGGCTACTACAGAGCATCAAACCACATGTTGTCAATCATGGAAAATATCCACTAAAATATGTAATTTAATCCATTAGTATTCTATTTTTTCACAATGACCTCAGAATAAAGTCAGTCACACCAGTGACTTCAACTAAAAGCTTCATATGAAATTATGAGCTAAATGAGAAAATTACCGATAACTGAAAGACACAGTGGAGTCAGCATGTGCTTTTCTTCATAGATCCTCAGAAAATAGGTAAATTAAGTCAAATGATGTCGTCAGTGTGATTTTCTATTTCAAAATAAGATTTTTTGTTACGCAGTAACGCCAGTGACACAACTCCTGGGGACCACAACTTTCATTATATATTTTATAATATTTATTTGCCATTTGTTTTCTTTATGTCATTTTATTCATATATTTCATAGTCATGTATAGATTTGTGTAGTTAAAATTGCAGAAAAACATATTTTTTACCTCAAAATATGGCCTCACCCTTTACACATGACTGTAAGGATGAGCACTTATGTGGTGCTTGGAATTCTAGATAATTGATTTAAAAAACAATATTAAAATAACATATATATATATATGTGTGTGTGTGTGTGTGTGTGTGTGTGTGTGTGTGTGTGTGTGTGTGTGTGTGTACTGGGTGTATATACCTTGACCATCACATGAAAATTTTAAATTTCATTGACAGTTTTTATGTCTTTCTTATTGTGGGTTTTATGGTTTTAATATATACTTCAGTTGCACTTAGAAAAACAGAAAACAGTTTTTTGTTAGTAAACTTACATTTATGTACATGAATTTAAGCTTGAATAATTATTTCGTTTGTATTATTTCTCTGCTTTCCCAGTGTTTCTGTCATATTTAACGTACAGAACATGTTCATATAACACAATAAAGTTCAATAACGAGCTTGGACACATCTTTCCAGCGTGTTTAGCATAATGACAGTGTTACTCCTACCGCAGCTTTAGTGACCAAACAGAATGCAGCCTGTGTCTTTAAGACTCCGTCACGTCCTTTCGCTGCACCACATCCGCGGTTTACTCTGCTCTGTGAAGTTATGGTCATACCGAAGCTGTAGGGGCTTTCTCTGGCTGTGACAGTACACCTGGCTGAGACTGGTAAACAAGATTGTGGGTAAGTCTGGTGACATTTAAAATCTTGCTTTAAATATTCAGATTTTGTCCTGTCGTGCCTTTGTTTTCCTGCTTCATTCGATCTGTTAGTTAACGTTAGCTTGTTAGCTGTTGGGCTAACCATAGCTACACTGATTTAGCCGCTTTGCCCAAGATAATCGCTGTTATCTTAATAAATAACCGTTTTAACCAGGGTTGTTGACCGTCTGCTCCACAAAGAGTGGGTAGATGTTATTCTGGACGTGGTCATTTCAGTTTATGAGCTGTTATTGACTTTTGCGAGTGATGCTGTCTGAGTCTCCAATGTGTTTGGCAGTGTTAACTGACTAATAAAACAGGATGAGGCTGAAGTTTATTATTCGCCTGCCTTTTGTTCGAATTTTCCCGTTCCACCTTAAATGGTGCAGCAGTTGGCTACGTGTTACATGTAACTGCTGCACCATTTAAGGTGGAACGGAAAATTCGAGCAAGAATCTGCTGAATAGGCAGCTGACTTCAGCCTCTTTAAGGCAGACTAGTAAGAAAACACCAATGGAGTTATTTTAACCTCCTGCTTATTTACAACATCTTAAGTACCCACTTAAAAAGATGTTTCTTCAGTAAAGACAAGAGTTCTACATAGAACCATGAACTCTCAAAGAACCATTTGCATGCTTAAGTAGTTCTTTGCATGGTGAAATGGTTCTTCAGATTGATGGAGAATGTGTTGTATATGGTTCTATATAGATGCTTTTTGAAAGTGGTTCTATGTAGCACCAATGTATTATGATATTATTAAGATGTCAAGCTGGTAGCAACAGAAGAACCCTTTTTGATGCTATGTGGAACCATATATAACAACACATCCATCAATCGGAAGAACCATTTCAGCATGAAATAATTCTGTATAGACATAGTTCCTTATAGAACCTTTGCCCTTATTAAAGAACCCTTATAGAACCATCTTTTATGTATGCATAGCACACATGCTTTGATGGGTGAACAGAGCTAACCAGTTCCTGTTCTGTCTTCCAGGCCTTGTCAACAGGAACCCATGGTTTTGTTAAAATGGTCTTCACCTGTGCTGCTCAGATACACTGCACTTTAATCATCAGATTAAAATGAAGTTCTGCCTCACATTCCAAGGTAAATGACATTATTTGGTTGGTAAAGCATCCAGATGCTTGCTTCATGTTAAATAGTGTGTAGTCTGGTTAGTTTTGAGAGCGTATTTAGTTTGCCTGCCTAGCTGATCCCCATTATTCTGCCAAATATTCAGGACTGAACAAGACAAACAGAAAAGAATTAGTGCTTTTGCGCTGATTCAGATCAGCTGATCACATGACTGATCACACACAGTTTTAGTGCTGTGCTTATGGTTTCATGGTCCACTCCGCAGGAACTAGCCCTTGGCCAAACAGCTGTGAGAATGCCCCCCTTGTTTTGTGATTCTGTATCCCCATTGTATGAATGTCGATATTTCCTGGAAGAGAGAGTTTGTACAGTGTTTACATAAACCATAACTAAAGTTACTCTGCTACTGAAGTTGCTCTGATGATGTTCATAAGTAATTAGATTTCCATTGTAATTAGCGCCGATGTTATAGTGTGATGTGGAGCTGCACAAAATGGATGCAATTCTGTATTGTGCTTATATTGATTATATGTTGAAAACACATTACCAAATCCTTGATGTGACATGATTAAAGATCGACTTACATCATTTTTGACCAAAGTAAACACCTTTTGATCCATCCGAACTCCAATAGAAATATATGGAGGGTTTGAGAATGGTCCGGATGCTCACAGAACATTTAGTAAAATAAAAATCTCAATTCACAAAAGGTTGGGACAGTATGTGAAATGCAAATAAAACAGTAGATTTGAAATAGAAAACAGTGATTTGTAAATCCACTTTGATCTGTATTTAAAGATATTTTATGTTTTATCTTATCAACTGTATTATTCTTTTGTAAATACAAGCTCATTCTGAAATTGGTGCTTGCGACTGTTGAGACTGGGCAATTTAAGACTAAGAATGTTGTGAAATGTTTAAAAAAACATCTTAAATAGGTGATGCAGTCATGCTTGGGTATATGAGTCTGGGAAGGCCTAGTCCTTTATTAGCAAGGATGGGTTGAGGCTCTCCAAAATATGCAACAGCAAGCTATCCAGCATTCTAGCGACTGCAATTTTGAGTATTTCACCCTATACAGTGCATAATATCGTCGAAAGACTCAGGAAATGCTCATGAACTTTGACCCCTCAAACGGCACTGCATTAAAAACCAGCATGCTTCTGTGATAGATATCACTGCATGGGCTGAAGAATACTTTAACAAACCTTTGTCAATAAACGCTGTCCGTCGCTGCATCCACAAATGAAGTTGAGACTGTACTACGCATAGCAGAAGCCAAGTGTCAACAACATCCAGAAACGCTGCTGACCTCTCTGGGCTTGAGCCTATCT